CAGAAAACCAAACACATTTTACAATGCTATCACATCATACGAGAAATTGTAGACAGAGGCGATGTGATGATTTGCAAAGTAGATACTGACGACAACATAGCCAAGTGAGAGATTGTTGGAGTTGTGCCCTGATGGTTTGCTATCACATCACACTAGGTCCATGTGCATTCGACCGATGCCAGATTGGCCATAGTGCAAGTGAGAGATTGTTGGAGTTGTGCCCTGATGGCCAACTATTTATCGTTATTCTATCATGTATAGGCAGATATAATATGTTTACGCATCTCATGCTGATGTAAACAAATATTATATTCCTAGATTTATATTTAAAAGATGTTTATCAGATAGTGTTATTCTGCTGATGAGAGTAACATCTTGAAATAAATATTTATCTAAATGTCCATAGTCGAGTATTAACGAGAGTGGGATATCGTTAATGCATGTGAGACTAGTGTGTGTTGGATCTTTGACTTAGTCTCATAGTCAATGATGGTGTGTTTGCATCCGCACATGGGTAGATATTATCTAGAGATAATAGGATGCCGGACTGACCCTAAAGATGTTGCTTGAACTTTTAGTTCATGCTCTAAGCATCTTTAGCGCGACCACGTGTGTAACTATCCTTCGACTTGAAGTATTATGTTTTCTGCATACGTGAACCCGCATGCTTTGATGCATTGTCCTAAGCCATATGAAATAAGGATAGTATACAGGCTTTGTTTTGGGTATGCCGCAGCACGTATTCAGAAACGTAGATTACGTACATAGGATTTGTCACTACTCTTTTTAAAGAGATTAATGTCTTATGGGGCCCAGTGATAAGTTATGATTGAGGAAATTGCACGGTCATGCTGAGATGTTTTTGTGACGTTTGTTCCTATCAGTCAGACTTGATAAATCAGTGAATGACTTAATGGATACAAGTTGGATTTTATTAATCCCTTGCATTAAGTTTAGACATTGAGACAAAGGGATATAGTTACACAGAGTCTGAGTCGTGGAAAGGTTTTGAGGGTGCAAACGTCTTAACTTATAATCTGGGGGCAATAATGTGTTGCTAGATACCGCTTATTGCTTATAGTATTGGTGCAGAGCCAATACTGTGGCCAGCTTTATAAGAACCTATACGGGTCACACACTTTGGAAAATTTAAGGAGTAGGATTAAACAATGGAATAATAAGTAATTTGTATTTTTGTAAAGTAGTAAAATAGTAAAATAAAATATTGTAACGCCACAAAATATGGCCTAAAATTTATTATAAAACAAAAGTAGTTTTTGTCCAATAAGAAATATTTATATGTTTGACCAAAAATAAATGGATTTACAAAATAATGACTTTTTGTTAAAAACGAATCCAATGGTATATTTATTGAGCCAATCTGATTTATAGATTACAAGCTATGACGATTTAAAATATTAAAATTTGTAACTTTGACCCATAAAATAAATTCAATTCAAAAAGAGATTTCATAGGATTAGAAAGCTTAATTTTTGACACCTGACAACATCATATTAATCATTTGGATTTAATTCGTATATTTTTATCTCATTCATATTTTTAAATTAATTTATGACTGAGACAGACCCGGACACTTAGAAAAATAAAGGTTCTTTGAAAAATATTTTGATTACGTCAAAATTCCAGTTTTGACAGTCTGATTCCAAAAACGCAATCCGTTTTCAATTCGGAGTAGTTTGGGCGAAAAAGCGTGTACGGTTTGGGGTAAACTACTTAGTTTGGACTAAAAGCCAAACGTCATTTTCTAAGATTCCTACTCAATCACGGATCAACTCCTAGCAGCCCATGTTCCCCACTAGCCACCCCATTTATTCTCCACTAACACAACACTCCAAGAATAAATATATAATACTTCACCACCATTCATGCATCCATCTCTTCTCCATCTCTCTCTCTCTCGGCAGGAACAAGAAAAAGAAAAGAAAACTCCAACTCCATGGTAGTATGTTAAGGAAGAATAAGAAAGAGCAAGAAAACCATCCAAACTTTCCAAATCCTGAAACCAAAACACATCAGTCCACTTTGAGGTAAAACCTGAAATTTTCCATCCATTATCTCGAAACACTTCTTGAACCAAAAGTGTAGCCCCGGACGATACGAATCCATATCAACAAACGGCTCGCGATTCCGTTAGGTAACGGAGAAGATATGGCCAAAATACCGGGACTGCGCCTGTGGTGGTGAGCTCCTCGGGTTCGCATATGTTTCTTCACCAAATTCATATTGTTTCATTCCAAGAACTCACCATAAACTCTCCAACAATTATTAGGAACATCCGGAAGGTATCGTAGAGAAGGTTCGGTGTTGGAATATTAAAGTTAATGGGTTAATCGTCGGAATCGTTGTTCACCGGAGTATTCAAAAATCCTGGACAGCAACTTTCCCCTAACTTCATGTCCGATTTACGCTCTTTTAGATTCATTATTTTAAAATACTTTCTATACTAAAGTTATAGCCTTACTTCTTAGGAATCCACAGAATCAAACGGTTTGCGATTCCGTGAAGAAACGATGGAGATATGCCCAAAACACGGCAGGCTGTCCGATTGTGACAAGAATGACAAAGTAGGTGAATTCCGATGTTGTTTCCACTACCGCTCATCCGTAAGGTTTCGACCGATGATTTCCAGGTCTGTACCTTTGTGTTAGACTTGTCGAATCATTCATAACATACATACATGAACATATATGTTAATCCATATGTTGAAACTATCTCTAAAATGTATATGTGATACTTATATATGTCATCTATGTGTTAAGACCAAAATACACCAAATCCATAAAGTTAATATATATATATATATATATATATATATATATATATATATATATATATATATAGACACACACACACATACATAGGTATATATAAACATTTGAAATCAACCCAACAACATGTATAGGTTAATTAAAGGTGTTTAAAAGACTTAAAGAAGTATTTTAGACACTCAAAATATCAAGACTAAGATTCGAAGACCCAAACGGTCGACGCAAACGGTCAACCGTTGTATTTAACTTCGAAAACGGACCACGACTGTCAGCCAAACGGTCGACCGCGGGTGGCTGACGGTCGACCGCCGCCCGCCCAGCCGAGGACCGCCGTTACAGTCAGTCAACAACGGTCGACCTCCGGTCAACCGCGGTCGACCGTCACGGTGATCCGAGATTGACGAAATGATTTTCAGCACGGTTGACCGCCGTGCTAAACGGTCGACCGTTCCGAACCCAGTAGCTTGATGAAATGATATTTTAATCATGTTTCATCAAAATAAACTAATGCATGATTATATATTCATATTGTTTGCAAATTGTTCACATCATATCATTCATTTCATCATTCATATTGAAGCGTATCACATCATGTGCATGCGTAAGAGATCATGCCTAGTGCGTCTCTTATAGCGTGATTGTGCGGGAGTTAGTAGTCCGACACCACAAGTTCGGGCTTAGTGTACGTACATGGTATTCAGGTCTCCGGGTACCACCCCTAATTTTCCAGTCTCACCTCATTCGTGAGACTAAGGCCGCGTGAGTTCGTCGTACCAAATGGGCGAATCTCATAGCGCAAGGGTGTCCTTGCAAGTTATAGGATCATGTATCATGTTACCATCATCAAGTACAATTACATTGATTACATAGGTGTCATGTAATCATCATCAAGAAAAAGTATATTGATTACATAGGTATCATGTAATCATCCTCTTAAGCAAATTGATTAAATGTGCCATCATGTAATTATCATTAAATATTTATCATCATGATTCATCAAATTGACCATATGATAATATGTGCCGTATCATGAATGCTACTATACATTTTGTCGACGTATATATATGTATATGTATATGTCTGTGAATCATTCTACAATTCTAGCGTGGTACCACTCAGCGGTTTTGCTAAGCGTGTAGTTTGTATTTTTCGTTGACTTTACTAGGTAATAAGAAGACAATGATGGAACCACTCCCGGAGGGCATTGAGTCAGAGGAGATGCAAGGATGGCAGGCAAATGTTTGGTCATCAGATTTTAAATGTTTCATGATTTGATTATTATTGTACTTCCGCATTACTCTGAAAATATTTTTAAATGGGTCGTGATCCAGAGTCTGTAAATTTAATATTTATAAGTAATTGTCTTTTTCAAATGTCAAGCGAAATTTTTATTTAACTCTCGTTTCACCTTAATTCGTGTAAATTCCGGGTTATACGGATTTGGGTGTTACATTTTGGTATCAGAGCAAAACGATTTTCGGATCATGGAGTCAATATTTTCAAAGTCCTACATCCGCATCCTCCACAACATCTCTGCCCCGGGAAGGTAATCAACAAGTAAGTTATTATGGCATAAGACACATGCTTAACTCATTGAAAATTTGCTTCTTTTGAGTTACTAATATCCTCATAGACTCGATTACAATAATGTTTAGATTGCCTCGAAATGTTCTTCGACGATCACAGACGACATTAGTAGATCAAGAAGAGGGACTGTAAACCTAATAAGCGCGACATATACGTATGTTATAGAACGCAAATGGCTAAGTGAACGATGTGAATCAACTTCTCTCAATCTGAAGAATACGTTGAAGAGAGAATTTTTCCCGATAGAAAGTGAATAAATTCCCCAAAAGTGAATCTACCGAACACGAATAAAGCCTCACAAACAGGATCGAATACGACATATGTATCGAACCTGAAACACATTATAGGGATGAATCTACATACAAACATTAAGATAATTGACTCGTTATATACCCTACTGACGCGAAAAGTCGCAACAGGTGACAGTACAAAACAAGATCTGAAATAGTCACACCAACAGTGAGAGACTGGAAGATAAAAAGAAAAGGATTAGTATTTACATGATACATTTTGATGTTGGAAATAAATATTCTTCTGAAATGCACTGGTCATGCAGCTTAGAACGATATTTATAACTGACATGTAATGTACATGGACAATATGATTTCAAATTGGAAATATTACAAATGCAACTCTAAGTCCAACCTTCCAGGATTTGCAAACTCGTCATAACTAGCACCAGGACCTAGGAAAGTCTTAGAAAACTCTAGTTTGTCCAAAAGCTCATCAACAAAGAAAGAAGAAATGAACAGTTTCCTATGATTCAAAGCCATGAAACTTGATTAGGTTATTGAAATGACCGTCAATGTTCAAAAGACCAATGGGTTTACTGTGTAACCCTTCTGATGCCCTTGAGATCAAAGTGAATAAACCTTCCATAGTGTCAATCCCTCCAGAAAGTACAATGAAGGCTTCCACAATATGATTCATCTCGAAATACTTATAGTAATTGCTGGAGATGGTGTACTCTGCACCATATGTTGGTCCATAGACCCCTCGTGTTGCTATATACCCTGGTATGAAACCTCTGACTCTACCACCATTATTATAGACTGTTGAAGCTACAGCTCCTTGTAGGCCAACGTTGCCTCCTCTGTAGGTAAGCCTGATTTTTCGCCTTACCAATTCCCGTCCTAGGTCAACCGCTGTAGCCATGAACCTTGGATTGCCACCAAGAGCATGACTACCAAGTAGACCAACGAATCTTATGGTATTAGGAAGAGCTCGAGAAGTTCCTTCCATAATGTGAGAATGTGAGACGCTCTTGCCACAATTTGTTATATATAGACTCTGAAACTGGACCATTGATGGAAAAGTAATTATCACCAGCCTAAAAACGTACAGGAAAGTGGATTTGCTCCAGAGAAGAACGTACTCGCCGATACTACAGTCTGCTGATGACATGACATGTTGAGACTCAGGAATAGTTAGGCTCATTGTCCTGAAATACATTCAAATCCGAGACGAAAAGTTAGAATGGTATTTACCTAAGACAATGACCCCTTGAGTAACTTCCAAGGAGTGAAACATTAGAGGATGAAAACCTACGATTGCCATGATAATTCGCAAGCGCTATATTTTATCTTGTGAGTTATATCCTTGAAATACTTAAACTTACTGTGTTAGTGTAACACCCCAACCCGCATGACCCAAACCCGTGAGACAGCGGACCGGTGTGTCACTGAATTGGTATCCGAATTTGCGACATTTTCAAAACAATTTTAAACAAACGTTCTATCAATACATATAAAAATTCATCGGAGTAATTTAAAATAATGCGGAAGCCTTTTTAAAGTCAAACAACTTGGGATCTTGCCCGAAAACGTAATAAGCATTAAAGTTAATTAAATAAAGCATATCAGCAGATTAAAGAGACAGCCACGCCATCATACATCTCCTCCTCAATGCCTTCTGGGATCGGCTCTAGGTTCATCTGTCTGATCACCTACGGATAGCAAAAAGGAAAACAACGCTATCCGCTCAGCATTGACGCTGAGTGGTACTCCATTGTAGCACAAGAATAAACATAATAATTCAACAATTAAGATCGTGCATATGTTTATCCTTTTAATAAAAATCAATTCAACTTTACATTCGGTTCTTTAGACGGTTGACCAACAGTCAACCTTATTTTCTTTCTTTTCAAAACGATTTAGGTGTTACGGGTTTCCATTTAACTCTTTGACC